ACTATCCTATGCTACAATATCTAACACTCAAAAGGATACAAATTCGCATTAGTAACCACAAAACAATGGTTTCAAGTCAAGATTTTTCTTGAAGTGTTAATATACTGATTGTATTCTATCAAGTCCAACCTCGACATGGAACCATTGTTTCGTGGCCGCATGATCTGGTAGTTTGAACGATTAATAGACCCTTTTCGAGTTCCAAATTGCCGCTGTGGTTCTTGACTACAGACTCATTTGCTCAGGCTAAGCCTCGAATCAGTGTCTAATTACYCGCAAATACCACGGTAAAGTAAAGAATGCCCAACTGCAACAATRCAAAGACTTCGAAACTTGACGGACCTTGACTGGAACACGTGAATATTCTTCACTAAATCGAGGCGAAGCCTGAGTAAATGAGTCTGTAATCAAGAAACACAGCGGTAATTTGGAACTTGAAAAGGGGCTATTAACTTAATGGATTTGTTGTGGTTTCAGCACTATGTTATCAAAGATACTAATGTCTTGTTTCGTTTATAATTTATTAATCTCTGGTTTATAAGAATCAAAAAGATGGTATAGAGTACGACATTTCATAACACTGAAACGGCTTCCCACTGTCTTCCATAATTACATCAGATATTTAGGTTACGGTTAAATAAGGTATGGCTACAGTACGCCTACGAATTTGCCGCATCGTTTCCCACTCACACGATCGTATTTACAGTTTGATAACGAATGCTTAGGCATTTTTGTTATGAAAAGACAAACGGTGAAGTATAAAAATATGATATTATAGCATCTGAGTACAAGGATCGTAGAACACATTGCAGGACAAAACGAAATAAGATTACAATTTTTCTATAAGATTACAATCTGATACGCCAATGTCCATCGCAAAAATGATGACTATTAGTCATAATGTACTCAATTCTCCTTAAAAAAACATTAGGAAAGACAAATAATGAGTGAAGAGATTTTAGAAGTTAATCACAGCTGACGTTTTTTTTAGCTAAAGCAAGTCGTACATTTTACAATAAAACGACGTCTTTACTTCGTTACATCGTTCTTCTCTTGTCTTCTGTCTGAGTGGATGCTATCTTGCTGCAGGTTCTTCAGGATGATGGTGGAGGGGGAGGGGGTGGTGGAGGAGGTGCTCCCATTAGTGACTGGGATCCCTGTGGTTAGAAAGATAAAAAATCTCAATATGCTTCATGAGAAAAATACGCCCAATATTCAAGATAATAGTCCCCTTCACAGTTCCTTGCGCCATCTTGAAAGATAGCCGTGCCTTTGCATTGAAGCGAGTCGAACGGTAAACTTGCAATGATACCTTTTTWAACACCTTGGACAATTATTCACATAAGGTCACCGTTCGTCTCCCTTCGATGCAAAGGCACGGCTACCTTTCAAGATGGCTCAGGGAACTGTGAAGGGGACTGTTGACTGTAATTCCTAGACTCAGTATCACTTGYGAAAAGAGATTATAAGGTCTTCACCGGTTTTCCTCCATCCTCAACAAGCTAAATAAGCCTGAAGCGAGATGAATCCTTTTCACATTGCTTTTGTTCTTTAATTATGACTATTGTTCCTGTATTCTCTAAGGAGTCAAAAATTTTAATATGAAAGAATTTAAAAAACTATTATGGTATAGAGTCGGGGGTAAAACGTCATCTCCCTTCAGGCTTATTCCAAGTCAGCCATGACCTGACTTTGATCAGCCCAGAAGTTGTCTCAGGGTATTGATAGAATYTTAAGAGTACTCAGATTTTTCACGATGCTCAACAGCCTTTTGTGCAAATTGCCTAAGAGGTATTTAACTAATACCTCACACTTTGTTAAAGATAACATCAGTCTAACAGTACTCACCCATGGGGTGTCAGAAGGGGGYGGTGGAGGTGGAGGTGCTGGCTGAAACTGTGGGAATGATGGTGGAGGAGGGRCAAATCCTTGTTGTTGGGGGACCTGCCATGGAGCTACTGAGGTTGCTGAATAAAAAGAAGCAAATACAATATAGATGATATGTGTTTATAGAGAAGGTCTATACCAGGAAACCATATACAGTGGGCACAGTAGGTACATGTAGCCTACTCTTAGTCCCAATACAGTCAACTCTCGCCTTGCRGACACCCCCATATTACGGACACTATGCTWTTACGKACAGGAGAAAAATTCCCGACRAAATWCTGAMAAAGAARTGACYGTAAATAATTTTCGCTATTGCGGACGCTCGCTATTATGGACATGAAGTGACGGTCCCAAGGGTGTCCGCTGTAACGAGAGTTGACTGTAGTCCTTTACCAAAATACAGCGAAATGTAGATACAATAAACAAACCAAGGCCTTGCTATTATCGTGTAAGTAACAAATACCTATGAAGTATAGTTTGAGGGATAAATTATACCAAATTGGTTTATAGAGGATGATGGACACTTGATGGTAATAGTCCGCTTCACAGTTCCCTGCGCCATCTTGAAAGGTGGCCGTGCCTTTTCATCGACGCGAGACGAACTGTGAGCTTGCAATGATAGAKACAYGYRAATARTTGTCCAAKGTATTAAAAAAAGGATGTCTATCATTGCAAGCTCACCGTTCGTYTCGCTTCGATGCAAAGGCACGRCTWCCTTTCAAGATGGTGCWGGGAAATGTGAAGGGGACTAYTCAACTGAAATACTYGTGGTCCTTAGTCTTTAGTTGATTAGGGATGGTACRACCATTAACATGGTCATGGCAAGTCACATGAAGGTCTAACCATTTGCAGATGTAATCACAAAGGCAGCACCTTCTCCTCAGTTTATTTAAGACCCTGAGTGTTGGCCCGAATGAGGAAAGATTCATATATTCCCAACGGAATGAGTTACAACTAAGAAATATACCATGGATTTGACCTTCATATCAGCATAGCCCTGTGGTATTGTACTATAGAACAGTTTCGCATGTGATACATGCCGCTTAGATTATGATTGACTTTTACAAATGATTTGATCTTTTAAAATTAAGGCTACATAGAAACACAGCCCTGTGGTATTGTGCTATAGAACAGTTTCGCATGCGATACATGCCACTTAGATTATGATTGACTTTTGCAAATGATTTGATCTTTTAAAAACAAGGCTACATATAGAGACACAGCAGTATTTATCACATGAGAAATGGGACTATTGATTACATTGTACTACATACTTGTCTGCCATGGCGGTACAGGAGCTCCTGCTGAGTTTGGTGGTGGTGGGGGTGGGGGTGGCTGTACAGGTGGTCCACCTACTGACGGAGGTTGAAATGGAGCTGGGGATAGATAACAAATGGTTAACATTACATCATGTTTTCATTTTTATGTCATAATCTTGCGAGTGTAAGTGTAAAGGTGTGGTGTGAAAGCATTGATTTTTATCCTCCCAAAAGTATATTATTTGCACGGTGATAACAAAAAATAATTGCAAATGGAACACCACCGCTGCACTGCAATTTGAGTGAATTGACCAAATATTTGAATAATTTTAGGAATAATATATTATATTAATGGTTAAACCTTCAAGTCTTCTCGGACTTGAAACCGTAGGCCCTTTCTCCCAACCTTTCTTAACCTACAGTAAAATGGGGGACATAAAAGAACCTGTTGAATTATTCGTGTTAGAGTAGGGGATTGTCTCCCGGTCCAACAGCCTATCCCAATTTGGAGGCATAGGACTAATCTACTAACAATTCACACTCATGATTGTAAGCTGCATGGCTGCCGATAGCGCCTTAATATGCAGCCCGTAAAGTCCTCCACTGGTTGAGAATGTAAAGAATATTGAGATATTTGAAATGTGCTATATAAGAAAAAATCCCATTATGTCGATGGCCAGATTGGATAAAGAGTTGCACATAAGTACATACCAATTCCAGGTAGAGGTCCTGGTGGAGGCAAGAGTCCTTGAGGTTTATTCCATGGTGCAGGTGGTCCTCCTGATCCATTTGATGGTCCAGGTGGTCTGACATTGACGGGCCTGGGAACTGGAGTACTCATCAGGGGTTTGGGACCTGAAGAGTTCCATGGTGCAGCAGGGGCAGGGGCAGGGGCAGGGGCAGGGGCAGGGGCAGGCGCAGGCACAGGCACAGGCACAGGGTTCTTTAAAGAGAAGATAACAAGGTACATGTATGTCATCCAATGAAGCAAATAAAAAGATAAATGTAAACTAAATGCAGAATGTTATAAATTAAATGTTGTTCAGAATTTATTTTATTATATCTATTAAATGTAAATCTAATTCAGATCATGCACCATTCCCTAGAGTATCAATTATTTCTTTGTTGAACTGTTGTACATGACAAGACACATGAATATGGATACAATTTAAGAGGAAATTTTTTTTCAATAACGAGCAATAATGGCAAAAAACGCCAAAAACTAGACCTTCGTATGAGTTTTGATCCCAATTTTCGTTTTGGGTTAACACTCAAAACCTTTTTTAACAGTTAGAAACTGATGTACTATGATAAAATGC